CCAAGCAAATTTTTTTTAGTAAGTTTTTTTAAAATTTTAAACAAGAATAACTTAACAAAAACTTGATCAAATTTAATTAAATTAATTTTACAAGTTTATAAAAATTATTTAAAAAAATTTTTATTAAATTTGGTTAAGTTTTTGTTAAGTTATTCTTGTTTAAAGTTATAAATAAATTTTATTATAAAAAATTTGCTTGATTTCTATTAACTCACCCCTATATATTTTTGATATTACAATAATTATATTAAATATCTAAATTTATATAATGATCTATATTATACATATTGTTTATTTGTTTATATTTTTTGACCAATCAAATTGAATGTCCGCTATGCTTATTTCTTACTTTAAAAAAAATTTCAAACCATTTATTAATTGGTGATCCACCAGTCAACCAGAGAATAATCATAGTAAAATGTGACTCAAATCACTTATAAAAATTAGGGGTTTTCAAATATAGTATGCATGAATTTAAAACTTTTTTTTATACTAAGTTAATTACTTTTCTAACTTAAGAAACTTTTGTAGAACTTGTCAAGATGCATCTAATAGTGGTTAGAGCATCAAAATTGGCTTGGTGGGTGTTAAGATATCTTTAAAAAATGTTTCTTTTACTATGTAAACTTCTTTGCAAACAATAATATTGTTTATAAAGAAGTTTACATAGTAAAAGAAATGTTTTTTAAAGATATCTCGGCACCCACCAAGCTGATTTTAACACTCTAACCACCATTAGATATGTTTTAACAAGCTCTACAAAAGTCTCTTAAGTTAGAAAAGTGATTAACTTAGTATAAAAAAAGTTTTAGATGTACACACGCCATATTTGGAGACTCCTAATTTTTATAAGTGATTTGAGTCACATTTTACTATGATCATTCTCTAGTTGACTGGTGGATTACTAATTAAAGAACCAAGTAGCAAGATAAGGATTGTTAATGATGTTTTGATGATAATTTTCACTAGACAGCATAAGCATGTGAAGTTCTAGCCAGTGTAGATTAGCAGCACTAAATTAAATTTTGTGATTTTAATTGTCTAATCATATCTGACAATTCATAATATTTTGTATTCTAAAACTGTCTTGATTTACATATACTTAAGCCAAATCTTATAATCCAATCGGTTATATATATATTACCATCAGCAATTATTTTCTGTATTTCTGTAGTGCTTGCCATTTAATTTGTGAATTAAGTGTGAAATACTGCTAACAAGCAAACCTTTTATCACTAAATACTTAAAGTATTTAGCAGGTTTTATGTCTTTAATATGTTTTGAATAAAGGTTGGCACATCTAGTTAGATAAAAAGTTAGAAATATATGTGCAATATATCCTAATATTTGAAATTTGTTAATAGGATTATTATTAATTCTTGGCTACTCAATAGTATTATTATTACTTAATAATCTATTAATTGTATTATTTATAGCTATGTCTTCTTAATTATCTAAAGGCAAAAAGGGTACAAAAGTATGTTTAATTATGTTTTCTTTGCTTTCTTTACTAAATTCGTCATTTATTAATTGATTAATTTGAAGTTGATCATCAATAAAACTATCCTTTAGTAAAGATTAAAAATTTTTATTGTCTATTGTGATATTTGAATAATAATCATTATTCTTCTTTAGCTAATACAATATACAAATAACTTTATTTTAGCGAACTCTAAAATCTCTAAATGCTATTTGGTCTCTATCAGATTGTTGACATACAATAAGCATATTTAATGAAGATAGATGCCAAAGAAAACAAGTACTAAATTCTTCTATATTTTGAGAGAAATTAATAATATTTCCTCTATATTTATGCTATTCTTTATGATATCTGTAAATTACTATAATAGAAAAAACTTGTATAATCAACATCTCTTCAATTTTTGTAAGTTTCTGAAACTCTTCTGGTACTTCTCCTAGACCCGTATTATTATCAAATGAGAATTTCTTTGGCAAGGTTTTCTTCTAATAATAGCAACTACATTCTCCTATAGCAAAAGTTATTGATAGAAAACCTTTATTGCATATAGGACAAAGTGTGTGTTTTAGCTTTCCCATTTTATTATGAAACTGCTACAAAAGAACTTTTCATATATATTAAGACCTGCAGAAGATGGTGTATAGTCTTGAGATATATCAAATTCATATTGTATATCAACATTTTGCACATCTAGTTCATCTATATATCTATCAAATTCTGAATAGTTGCTATTATTTGTAAGACTTGTCTCAAGTTCTATAAGATCTGTTTCAATTTTATATAATGTCTTTGCTACTCTTTTTCGCTATTTTAGTTCTTGTTCACATGCAAGATGAGTTTCATGTTGTTGAGATGATTTATTTTTTTTACTTTTACATTTTTGTAAAATATCTCATAAAATCAAACTTTCTCCTGTTTCATTTGCTTTACCTATTTGGTTTTTTTCAATTATACTTTCTTCTATTAGGCTTTCTTCTATCAGGCTTTTTTCCATTGAGCTTTCTATTATTGGGCTTCCTGTTATTGAACTTTTTGCTATAGAGTTTTTTTTTATTCTGATTTTTTTTTTTGCTATATTCTTTATTTTTAAATATTCTTTATTTATAAGAATATTTATAATATATATAAAAGCTATGAGGTAATTATCAATAATGTGAGGTTGGAATCCTGTGGCCTAGTAGTCTAGGCACCTAACCCTTTATGAGCAGGTTTTAGGTTCAAGTTCTAGTAGGTATGTTTATCTATGAATATTTAGAAGTATCTGCTATGGGAAGTCCAAGTGAATACAGGTCTGGATTAGGAATTTCCAGAAGGAGGTTTATTGTGGAGTAGTTGATACTATATGTAATAGTAGTTTTCTATTATACAAAGATTGTGTATGTAAATCTGTAATTAGCAAGGTAGTACCAACAACTCTAAGGCAGCATTAAAGATCTTGTTTAGGAAGATGATCAGGCGATAACCAGAATTTGAATATGGTAAGAAATGTGGTAAACACAAAGAGATCTGTGATAAAGAATTGGTCTTACCAGATTTGGAACACCTCTGGCATATATAGAACTTACTGGCTAATAAGAAGTTGAAACATGAAGGTATATACATGTTAATAGACTTAACAAGCTCGGGTTGTATTTGAATGAGAGTCTTTGGTGTTAAAAAGACTTGGGAACACCAATATAGATATAGCTAATATAAATGCATGCAGCGGTAACCGGAGGCTATAACTGCTAAGAATCACCATAAAAAGAAATAACAAAATACCTGTTACCTCTGAGCCTTATAATACTATCCAACTATACTAACTACTAGGAATATTTGCGAAATATGTTTGGGTAGCCTTGTCACTATATTAGGAAGTACAGTTATTAGTACAGATCTAATTGAATATATTAAGACCTAGGTCCCGAAAGTCGCAGGAAACCAGCTAGTTACAGCAGCATGCAGGCTTGAAATACTTACCTATTTGGATAGAAGCAGCTGCATGACTTGAGATACAAACTCCTGAAAAGTATACCAAGTAAGGATTAAAGGAGAAATCGCTCTGCCAAGCATACCAAACTGGAAGCAATAAATGCCTACCTAGTATACACCAATTTGGAAGTTAAAAATAAAAGGTTTGTAGATAATATAGCAGACATGTGAATACTAATTGGTGGTTGGAGAGGGATGTATAAATCCAGGTGAGCTGTATTGTGGGAATATAATCAGCTCTGGTGGGTTTTAGTTGTAGATAAATGGTTTGTATACTTGATATTCTAGTTTTAATACTTGATGTAATATGTATATGTATTGATATCATCATATATTAATCATTTAAGTATTAAATAAAGTCTAAATGTGGGTGCTACACCCTTATAATTAAAAAAAATTATCAATAATATAATTATAGCACTTTTATTTTATTAGTAATCAAGAATTTGTATTTTAAGATGAACTTTGCAAAATTTATTAAAGACAACCAGAGGCTTTTTATATTTTTTTCATTTTTATCTTTATTCTTGAGATACATCTCATTTACAACTCATTTATATTTATTTTCATTTTTTTAGATATATTTTAGCCTATTTTATCCTTAATCTATCATTATTTTAAAATTCTTCAAACTTTTGTACCCAATGCATTATATCTTTCTTCTACATGCATTTTTTGATGTTATATCTAATCTAATTATCTTGCTTACTAACAATGCTACTACAAATAAAAGCTAAGTAATGCTAAAGAACCAAATTAAGCATACAGGTGATGAAATAAAATACAAAACAGAAAATAAATAATACATAGCTAAAGGTAAAATACTGATAGTACATAGTACAGGTAATACTATATTTGATTATTATTTATTTGTTTTATTTTTGAAATAATCTGTGCAAAGTATTATTTCCTAATATTTGAAACTCTTAATTTGGTAAAGATTATTGTGAAGATGAAAATTCAAATAGTAAAAATTTAATATTGTAAAGATATACTATTGTTAAATTTCTGTATTGTGAAGATTCCATATTGTAATAATTAAAATTCAATAAAAAATTATAACAAAATGCAAATAATTATAACAATAATTTATGTTGAAGCACAATATAAGATTGTAAAGAACAGAATAATTAAACTTCAACTCAATATAGCAAAAACAAAGTATGTATATATAGTATTCTTTTAGTATAAGCTATAGTAAATATTTTTATTCAACTACTTCATTATAATGAGAGCAATTTTAAAAATAAAAAATATTTAAGTAATGTTTTTTTTTTTTTTTATAAATTAAGCAGTCATGCTTTAACTTTATTAGGCTTTGTATAAATCCTCTAGACTCGTAAAATTTTACACTAAGTTGCATTTTAAAAGGTAAGTGCTAAACTCTTAACTTGTCGGCAAATAGCATATAAGAACTATCTCTAAACGACAAGCACCGTAGCATTAAATCTAATGTTATCTAAATTACAAGTTAAAACTAACCCGGTTACCCTAATTGGTACCTATGCTCAACCTGCTATAGCAAGATTTCCCTCCTTCCGGACCCCTCCTGCAATTGGATATGACTCGGCTCTCAACAGTGGACCTTGCCACCCGTCATGACTACCTCCTCTTCTTTCAGACTTCTTCCACCTAAGCCCGACA